GATTTATATCAAATATAATTAAAAATTAACAAATGAATACATTGTATCAAAAGTACGAAGATATACATTTTCATGCACATACTTGTATATATGTATATATGTATATATTTTACATGCACACATCACTTGTTCAAACTATAGCCACTGCTTGACTGGTTCCAGATGCATTTCAAATTTGGCAACTCACTATGAGATTTCAGGGGAAATATGACACCTTGATAAGAGACAGTACAGATACGAAACCCAAAGTCAGGAAAACAAGACATTATGTCTCCTTTCTCTCTTACATGTAGTTTTCATCACTTCCAATGCCTAGAAGATTCTAGACAAGCCAGCTAGGCTGTGTGGGTCTAGAAAAGAGGATTCTGAACCAAATATGGCCCAGGGAAACAACTGTGGTTCTGCACAGAATAGACATATTGGACACCCAAGATAATATCGGCCAGAGGTGAGGGGAACGAGAGACAACACATCAGTATCAAAATACATGTCCTTCTACTTTGCGACATGAGCACAGCGATCACATGCACAGTCCAAGATTCCTGTTTAATTTTATTCTATTGGAATAAAATACTCTATTATCTTTAAAGTTTCAGAGTGTTGTGCCTTCACATGAGGAAATTCTATAAAAAGGTTTGGTCACAATCATGCTGAAACCCGAGACCAAGTGGTGGTCTTGTGTGTCTTATTTTTATTAAATGTGTGTCTTTTGTTGCATAGCCCTATGGGTTAATACATCCACTCACTGAACACACCACCACACACACTGCATCTCCCGTGAGCACAGACACACGCACACACACATCACACACCACAGTTTCTTTGAGAGAATTTATGAGGTGGAAGCCAAGAATCCAACAAAGAGAGCATCAAATTTCAAAATGTGGAGGACACACCAGAATCAACTTTTCTAAATGCTGTCTTTCTTCATAACACAGGGGGTCTCCCAGTGTTTGGTGCACACTGAACAACGTCCTGAGTATGGTTTCCCCCTTTTGAGAGTGGCCAGGAAGTTAGATTTCATTTTGCTGCCTGCTGCAGGAACAGTGCGGGACCCAACCTCAGCTGTGGAAGCCAAGTTTCCCCTCCACCAATCGCCTGCTCTGAGTTTCAGCCAGGGCTCCCTCCCTCCTGCCCTGCTGCCCCACATCCCACCCCCAGGTCCAGTGTCTTCCTCTTCCCTGCTGGCCTGTCCCTCTCTTCAGGCTTATGTGGAAAGAGACTTACTTCACACGCAACAGAGATTATGCTCTACTTGGTAGGCACCCATCCCTGAGAATCAGATACAGAACAATTGAAAATGCTTCACACAAGTACACGGTCTGCCGCTCTGAGCTTCCCCAGGAATGCTTCCTTTCAGGGAAGGAAGAAGCCAATAGTGGCCATGTTTCCAACCATAGTTTCCTGCTGGATGTCGTCTCATGTTCTCCACTGACATCAGCTTTCTACCCAGTTGCTGTTTGGAATCGTTTTCACAAAACCCACCCGTGGCGGTTCCCAAGGCCTCTCTCACACCACGATGCCCAGGAGCCTGGTGTGTGAAGGCCCGGAGATCAGGCACTTGGTCAAGAGCAGCAGGGGCCCAGGTCATCTGCAGGGCCGCCTGGACTGGACAAAGTCTATGCAGGAGCATCTCCTCACACAGGTCACAAAAACACACAATGAGAAGTTGACATCTTTCTACAGGTTTGATTTTTTAGAGTTATGTTAATGTTTCCTTCCCATTTTTCTGGTTTTTGATTTTTTCTAAATAAGTATATAGAAGTGACAAAAAAGTGAATGGTGTTGAGATTAAAAACCAAGACCAACAGCAGGAACACTTTGCAGATTTGGTCCCTGTTGGGGTTGACAGTGTCTGGGGGGAAGGACAGAAAGCATCTGAGTATTTTTAGGGAACATTTGCTGTTCAAGTACAAACAACAGCACGGACATGTGTGTCTGTTGGTGCCGACAGGGCTGTGCGGGGCCACAGCTGGGCTCTGAGGCCTTGCCCTGCTCACCACTGACTCCACCCAGAGGCCTTGCCATGATTTTGGGCATGCCCTGCTCCTCTAGACCACATGTCTGGACAAAGGGTGCCCCACACAAGATACAGACCTCCTACAAAAGGGCCCAAGCACCCGCCCTGGATGCTGGAGTCCATGACACAGGATTTGGACTTGCTGGGACAGTCTCAGCCACACTCAGCAACTTCCTGTTCAGGATCTGATGTGTGGTGTGAGACCTAGGAAGGCAGCACACGACGGGGAGAGAGAGCCACATCCCTCCAGAAAGGGCTTTATTAATCCATCCAGTGCAAAAGAGGAGGGATAGAGAGGAGAAGCTCCACCGAAGGGCAAGACCCCTCCTCCCTGGGGCTGTCCCCCCTCGCCACTCCTGAGCATCCCTGGGAGCCCAGAGTGGATGATAAAACTCACCCACTGGGACACACCTGCTGTGTGCAGGTGCAGGGCGGTCTCGGTGCAGCTAGCACCAGTGGTCTTGGTCGGGGTGGTGGTAGCTGTGCCGCGCCCTGCTGCCTGAGCTGAGTCCCAGAGTGCAGTGATAGCCATTGGGCACACGGCGGAGGGGGTGTGACTGGGAGGTCAGCGAGGACACGTAGGAAGTCCTGGAAGAACGGCCCGAGTTGGTGGCCACGGCCTCCTCGAAGGTGAGCGTGTCCTCAGGCAGGGTGTGGGCAGAGGCCTCACTGTCCAGACGCTGCCCCAGGTAAGGATCGGAGCCGATGCGAGAGCCAGCGGCGAGGGGCTGGCTGAGGGGTTCTCTCTGCAGCAGGGCGTTGTGTTCAGAAAGGCCGCGGCTGAGCCGGCCAGGGGAGAAGGCCGGGAGGCTGGTCTGAGCCCCGGCAAAGTGGACGGGTGAAGAGTTGGCCGTCTTGTAGGTGATGCTGGGGCGGGGGGTCGGGGGGGTCTGGGGGAGCTGCCTCCGCCCACCACGGCCTGGGGTGCTAGCACCAGATGTTGACAGCAAGGGGCTCCCATTAACTGAACCACTGCCCTACATGAAAATGGAACAGAGAAAATTCAAAAATAGAAACCGAACCTCACAAACACAGAGCACAGTGGTGGGCGGGGACACAGAAGAGCTGACAGGGAAGTATGAGGGACCAGCGGAGTGGCCCTGGGGTGGCCATGGGAGGCAACAGTCTCAGCAGTGGGGTGGAGGGAAAGGGTGGGAAGGGCCAGGCCAGGCCAGCAGGGAGGAGAGCTCAAAAGCACTAAGGGTTTACAGCCAGGCCCCACAGTGACAGACACAGAACCACCATTCCAGAGACAGCAAAGGGAGGAGCCTGGCAAGGACATGACAGAGCTGGGCACAGACAAGGGCACAGCGGGTGCTCCTGGCCCTTGGGGTCCTGGAAGGCTCCAGGCAGGGGAGGAGCCACCAGGCCCAGCCTCCCCACCAACCCCAACTCACCTGTGGGTGGGGGCCCGGTTCCTGGCCAGCCGTCGGTGACGTGGGATGGCTGCTGAGCGAGGGCTTGGGTTTTGGTGGCTCGCGGCCCCCAAAGCGGTCACAGGAGTAGAAGCGCTGCTTCTCCGAGGAGGAGGACGATGGCTGCCTCCGCTCCTGGGACCGGCCCCGCTCCTGCCTGCGCTCCCGCTCCCGCCGGCAGCCTGCAGGCCCCTCTCCCGGGGGCAGCCCCGGCCCTGCAGCACTGCTGGGTGCTGGCCAGGGAAGAGAAGTCAGCATGTGAGACCAGGGCAGGGACAGAGACCCGGACCCCAGACCGGTTTCCCCAGAGCCAACAGGGAAGATCTTGGCAGTGTCAAGGGAGGGGTGGGGTGGCACATGGTCCTGCCTGCTCCCAGACCTGCAGCTCATGCCCCTTGTGCTCTAGGAGGGTGATAGGGACATGAGGGAAGACACAGGGAAGAGAGTCCCCCTGAGCTGCTTGGATCCCCAAGAGTCCCCCCAGGCTGCTTGGATCCCAGACTCGGGCCACAGCCTCTCGAGAGGCTCCTGGACCCCATTGCACGTACCGCCATCTGCGTCAGCAGACAGGCTGGTCCCTTTCTCCAAGGGCCTCTGCTTCTTGTCCCTGCGCCGATGGCAGCGGTGGTGGTGATGGTGTGGGGCCTGGCTGGGGGGTGGGCGGTCCAGGGCAGTGCTGCAGAGATGGGCCCCGTGGGGGCGCTGGGCCAGCGTGGAGATGGAGCGCTTCATAGGGCTGGCGTCCGGCACGGGCTGCAGGCAAAGCATACGGGGGAGGTGTACAGCCTGAACATGGGTCTGGGGGAGGCACCAGGGCAGCCAGCAAGGCAGGTATGGGGAGCTAAGGAGCAGGCCAGGTTCCAAAGGAAGGAACCAGGACAGGCTAGGGGTCCCGCTGCCCTACACTGCAGGGACAAGCAGTGCCTAGGAGTCCTCCAGGCAGGCAGCTGCACCACCCAGCTGTTGGCTGCATTGGAAGCATCCCGAGTAGGGGGCCTGCAGGTGCCTTGCCACCTGCCGGTGGGGGGGAGGGATCACTCTGCCTGGCCTGTTTGGGGTGGGCTGGCCGGTGAGGCTGCCCCCAAGGCAAAAGTCAGGACCTGTGGAGCTGAGCCCCCAGGTGAGCTCACCCACAGACCTACATATTCATGTGAGAAGGAAGAGGCTCCAGCACAGGCTGGAGAGAGGGGCAGCTAGGCCTGCACCACACAGCCAGGCGACACTGGGGAGGGCACCCACGGCGGTGGCAGAGCCATAGGAGGGAGGACTGGTGGGAAGGAGAGAAAACTGAGAGAGGAAGGAAGGACAATGAGGAGAGGAAAAGGCATTGTTGGCTACAGTAGTGAAAATGGGAACATTACCAGGTAAAGCTCAAATTGAATGTCCAGAGCCGGGGACAAAGCGGGGAGCAGAAATGCCCAGAGGGCTCAGTGCACTCCTGGCTACACGGGAGCTGCCATGGAGATCCAGGCTGCCAATGTGGACCCTGCAGCCCCTCAGCTGCCTCGCAGGCAGGAGCACAGTGTTCCCAGAACAGCCCTGGATGGGCAGACTTGCCCGTGTCCTGGGGAAAGGGGCTTATCCCAGAAACACAGAGCTGCAGCCCACCCTGTGCCAAAGCCTCCTGCTCCTCAGTCTAAGGTGCCACATGAAGAGGCCATGCCAGCACAGAGCCAGGTGGCAAACATGGTCTAGGGACTGCCAAGGAGGGGCCTCCCCAGAGACCCAAGTGGGACAGGCAAGGACTGAGACCTGGGGCATGATTTTCAGGATCAGGATGGTAGTGAAAAAGGAAGAGAGAAATGGGGTGTACAGAGCTGGGGAGAACCAGAGATGTGGGGGCCAGAGCCAGGGGGGGACCAGAGCTGGGGGCACTAGAGCTTGGGGAGGGGACCAGAGCTGGGGGCACCAGAGCTGGGGTGGGGGGCAGAGCTGGGGGCACCAGAGCTGGGGGCGACCAGAGCTTGTGGGGACCAGAGCTGGGGAAAACCAGGGCTGGGGAGACCAGAGCCAGAGGTTGACCAGAGCCGGGGGCTCTAGAGCTTGGGGAGGGGACCAGAGCTGGGGAAAACCAGAGCTGAAGGGACCAGAGGTGGGGGGCAACCAGAGCTAGCGGGTACCAGAGCTTGGGGAACCAGAACTGGGGGGACCAGAGCTAGGAGGGAACCAGAACTGGGGAGGACCAGAGCCGGGGGTGACCAGAGCTCGGCGGGGACCAGAGCTTGGAGAACCAGAGCTGGTGGGGACCAGAGTCAGAAGGTCCAGCGATGGGGCACCTAGGCCTGTGTGTCTTCTCACAGGAGTCTGAGAATGGTGTGCAGTGGAGGTGTCTTGGCTAGCCTGGCAAGACCAGCACCACATCCTGGGATGTCCAGTGGGGCTGAAGGCGTCCAGGCTGCCCAGGGGGTGCCCACTCCTCCCTTGCAAAGAGCTCAACAGTTGGAACACAGCCCTCCCCACACCCAGGTCTCCTCACCCTCAGGATGCCCATGGCCATGCCCCCCACTTCCACCCCACGGCCTGGACTCCTCCCAGACCGCTTACCTGAGTCTCTGCCGCCAAGCGAGGCATAGAGGCAGCACGGCCCTGGCTCTCCAGCCCAGGTTGGGGGTCTCCATCGGGGGCCCTCAGGGCCATGCTCTGCATCTGGACATCCACGGCCTGGAGAAAACAGCACCATCTCAGTCACACCTCTCCAGGCACTCCCACCCGTCTCGTACCCACCGTCCCCGGGAGTGCTCACCAGTGCTCCTGGCTGTGCCACAGGGATCTCTGTTGAGTGGCCACGCTCCAGGGGTGCCCTGGCCTCACAAGGTGCATCCTGGGTCCTCTGAGTGCCCCAGGACATGGACTCCTTGATGCCACTCTCTTGGGTTTGTCTGTGGAAAAGAGGGGAGGGATGTCCTGTAGGGTCAGAGGCCCATGGGCTGCAGAACGCCCGACCGGCAACTTGGCACTCCAGCCTGCTAGGAATCTCCACTGGCCTCACTCTCAGCAGAGGCCGGGGGCCAAGTCCCCATACTCTGGACTAGATCAAGCCCTCTCTTGCACACTGGAGTGCCAACATGGTCTATGCATGCTGGACCCAAGCAAGGGCACATCAAAGGACATGAACCCAAGACAGGGAGAGCCGGACAGGACTCAAGAGTGGTGGTGAGGAAGCCCAGCTGCCCTGGCAGAGCCACAGGCCGAGGACCTGCAGTGCTCGAGTCTGTGGGAGGCCTGGCCCATTGCTCCCTGGTCTAGGGACATTTGGCAAGTTCCTCGGCCCTGGACAGGAGCTCACCTGAGAAAAGGAGGGCTGTGTGCGCAAAGCTAAAGAAACCTTCCTACACTGATGCGCAGTGAAGGAAGCTGTCAGGGAGGTGAGAGGCTGCAGGACTCCGGGGCTTCCTTCCCCCAAGGGCCCTTTGCTGGTGGCTCCTCCTCACTGCCCTGACCCTCCAGCCACGAGAGGCCTTTCTATCCTTCAGGTCCCTGCTCAGGTGTCCCTGGGGGGCAGACCAGGCCGCATGTACTCCCTCCTCACGTGCCTCCTATCCCCTACCCAGTCAGTGTTTGTGCTTCATATCACTTGTCTCCCAACTAGCATCAGATTTGCCTGAGAACTTCTCATCCTCACGTTCCAGGAGGCACTGACTACGTTCTTGGTCACGCAAGGTCGGTGGCACCGATCACGCTCTGAGCGCAGAGTGGAGCCTCATGGCCTGAGCTGGCCACACTCTGACTACAGCGGTGGGTGCACAGACGGCAGAGATCAGTCAGACTATTCATTGCTAGGGTTTCTGAAAAGAAACAGCCTCCGTCTTCCAAGAGAGTTTTGAACACCTGCTGACACCATGCAGAGAGTAGCCTCGGGGAAAGGCCAACCCTGAGAAAAGGGCCAAAGCCGGGCCTAATGGCACTGTCAACCCTGAAATCACCCCATGTCCGAGGCCAGGGGTACACTCAAACCCTCCATCAAATGGCTTCCATACCCTATCCCCTGACCCCATTAGACTGGGTGTTCTTTGACTTGCAGTAAGAGTTGTAACTGATTTAGGTACGAAGTATAATCAGGGAAATAACTGAACATCATTTTCCTGATGAAAGCCTACCTTAGATCAACCCAAAAAGACACTTCACTATCCCCTCCAGCAAACACACACACTCAGAATCAACTGTTTAAATGCAAAAATGGGCTGTTCATCAGCACACAGAAAGGAGCATGTGAGAACAGGGCTGGCTGCGGAGCTCTGGGAGGCCAGTCCTCAGGATCTGGGTCCCTGAATTTGGGAGCATGATTTTCTGGCCATGTTCACCCTCTGCAATGTCCACGTCCCACCCCTTGAGCAAGGGCCTAGCTGTGCAACCTGCTTTTGCCAAGGGGATGTTGGCCAATGGCCCCAAGTAGAGGCCAGAAAAGGGTCTGCACCTTGGCCCCCCACTCGGTTGCTCTTGGGGCCAACACCCTGCGACGGGCCCAGGTAAGCTGACAGATGACAAGAGGCCTGTGTGCCTCAGGCCCCGGAATCTTGCTGGTCCAGCAGTGTCGAGAGAACCCACCATCCTCATGGAGCCAAGCCCAGCCCAGCCCCCAGCTGCCATCCCTCGGCCAACCACAGTGAGAAAAAGTGATCATTGTTTTAAGTCACTTGGTTTTGGGTGGTTTGTTACCAAGAAATACTGTGGCAAGAGTTAAATGATACAGAAGAACCTTACCAATTTTTCTACAAAATATAATAACTTCAGGAATAAACACCAAAATGGAGAACTGAGAGCAAAAATGTCTTAAAGGAGTTAGAATGTTAGACGCCTCCCAGCCTAACCAACCTAGAGAGACCCTGTCTCTACAAAGAAACAGAAAAATTAGCTGGGTGTGGTGGCATCTGCAGTCCCAGGTACTTGGGAGGCTGAGGCAGGAGGATCACTTGAGCCCAGGAGTTGGAGGCTGCAGTGAGCTACGATGACACCACCGCACCACAGTCTGGGCAACAGGGTGAGACCCTGTCTTGAAAGAAAGGCAGGAAGGGAAGGAAGGAAGGAAGAAAAGAAGAAAAGAGAGACGAAAGAAGAAAGGAAAGGAAAGAAAGGAAGAAAGGAAGGAAAGAAGGAAGAAAGAAAGTGAGAACCCTAACAGGCCATGAAGAGAAAGGAGTGAGAACTGGAGGCGGAACCCTAACCCAGCAGGCACCACCTGACAAGGCAGAGGCAGACACCTCTCATCTGACAGGGAAGTAAGTACACGCGGTGGGAAGTAATCGCTGGCATAAGGAAACCTAAACCAGTTGGTCTCCGTGCTGTAAGAAAAGTGAGGTAGAAAAGGCACCTGTCTAATATAACAGGAATTCATTTTAATGTCCACCCTGGAAACGCAGTAAATGAAAAACCACTTGCAGCAGCAAACCTTCACGAACTTTCCAGCAGCATAGACCATGAGACATTTGGGTGCACCCCTGGGTGGAGGTGGGCGTGGGTCGACCCTGTGCCAGTCCCTGAGAACTGAGATGTGCCCTGAGGCTCTCTGTCCTCGGAGGGCTGCCTGAGCTTCCAGACGCATGCTCGGGTGGCAGACGAGCTTCAGGTGTCCCAAGCTGATGAACTCAGATGCAAGCAGGATGAGGGACAGGGAGGACGAGGAAATGGGGTTTCTGCTCCTTCCCTTCACTGGCTTCCGGTCCCTTCCCATCCAGCCATGCCCTGCATCCGGGTACTCACACAGCTCCACCGTTGCTGAGGGAGGTGGAACTTTTCTGCCGAAGGAAAACCCGGGCTCCTCGGAGCACAGCTGGCTGCGTCTGCTCCAGGGTGGCCTTCAGAGGGTGGAACAGGGACACAGGGCCCATCTGCAAGAGGGGCAAAGGGAGGAGGAAGAGCTCTGAGGGCCAAGGAAGCCAGGCCCCTGACAGACCCACAAGGTGGCCTCAGGGACGCGCTCTGATCACACGGCACGTGGCAGAAGTCAGTTCCAGTCCAAGCCCAGCATCAGAGCGCCTTACCTTAGTGAGGAGCCACGTGCTTTCTCTGTTCGCACCCTAAGCATGAGCATTCAACCAGGGCAGTGAGGCAGACCCTTACGGCTTCTCCTCACACCCTTGCCTGTAAGTGACTTGAGGAAAGCCATGTCACTTCTCAGATGCTCACTTTCCCCACATACACAATCAGGGAACTGGACCAGATTCCAGATGGCAGAAAGATGTCAGCTCATCATCAACCTGAATGGCTTGGTAGGGCCTTCCAGAAGCACCAGGCAGAGCAGAATTCTGAGATTTCAGGTTGGGGCAGACTCTGAGATGGACTAGTGCCGAGTGCCCCAGACACAGGAATGGAGGTGCTGGTATAAACATCAGATATTTTCCATCCCAGGGCTGGACAAATGTCCCTGGAAGCTCTGAACATCTACCCAGACAACTTTATAGACAGAAAGCCTGCATGTGGTCACCGAAGATAGAGCTGTGTGGGAAGGTTCTTATGTTAGAGGGATGGTACCAGGAAGGTGGGTCGCCAAACCATTCCAGCCAGAGTTATGAACAGAATAGTGACCCTGGACCTATCAGAAAACAGGTCCTCCTTCCACCTCCAAAAACAATCCTCCCAAAATATTCTTCACATCTTCCTCTCTTCTACCACTTAAAAACAGTGATATTGCCCAGGTCAGCCCCTTATTTTCTGCCCCACACACTAAGTCAGGAGCTCCCAACACCACCAGGCAACCAGCTAATGCAAAGCATGAAGGCTGTGTGGGTTTCTGACTCTGAGAAACAGAGAGGTAGCTGCAAAAATCTCTCATCTTCCTTCTCCCGCTACACTTTTTCCAAAAGGGGTGTGGGTCTCCCACCATTGTCAAACCACCCAAGGATGCCAGAGTCTCAGAGGCATCAGAGTTACTTTTTGGAAATCGTAGGACCTGGTACCTGGGACAGACCCCCGGGAGCTTGGTGAATCTGGTCTCTGGTGGTTTTGTTCTGCTTGTAGAAGTCGAATATCATCAGAGCTGCATAGACTTTCCCCACTGTCATCTCGTCGGCTGGAGGACAGAGCAGACAGGGAGAGCACACAGAGGTTGGGGTTTGGAGAAGAAGGGGGTCAGAGAAGCCACAGAAACATGGCAGGGAGGGAGAGGAGGAAACAGCCCCCCACCAGGAGAACTCCTGGAAACACTTGGGGTGGAGGGGCTCTCAGGTAGAACACAGGACTCGGCCACAAGGAGCTTGGCCTCCCCCCGGCCTCTCATGGCTGCTCTGACTCTTCAGGAGGCCTCCCGCGGCCAGGCGGATGCCCCCTCGTTTGGGGCCCTCCCTTCCTATCTCCTCCCAAGAAAATAAGATCGTAGTTAGGTACTGGAGATTTTTACAGACGGGGTCTTGCCATGTTGCCCAGGCTGGACTCGAACTCCTGGGCTCAAGCAACCCTCCCGCCTCAGCCTCATGAATTGCTGGGACCCCAGGCACCACCACCTGGCCAGGCATTCATCCTTCAGCACCTCCTCTCTCACGTCTCTAACTGTGGGATTCCTTCCTGCCTGTTCTCTGATTTCTTGGAATAGATTCCCACACTAGCAGTGTGAGCAACTATGCTCAACAGAGTGACCCTGAGATCATCTATGGCTCCCGTGCTCCCTGCAGGTGGAAGTTAAGTGCAGGCTACTGGGGCGTGAGCCTCCCTCTCCAAGGCAACTCGCCCTTCATCCATTGCCCTCACCTCTACACCCCTCCGGCCCCTCCTGCAGCCTCCCTGCCTCTGGGTGGGACAGGAAAGGCCCAGGTGGGGATATTTCTCGCCCTCGAACTTACGCTTATGGGGCGGTACCAGTAAATCCAGTGTCTTCTGGGGCAGGTTGGCCCACACCGAGGAAATCTCCTTCCTCAGCTCTGCGTCACACTGATGCTGCTTTGTCCCAGCTGGGCCAGGACAGCGGGGAGGGGAAGAGACAGATGTTAGCAGCAATCCTGTAGCCCCAGGGGCAGAGCTGGGGCTGGCAGGGAGGCAGGGAGGCCTGGTGTGGGGAGAAGATGGGGCGCAGACGGTGCTGGGAGGGAGGCACAGTGGGAAGAAACACAATGCGGAGGCTGCCTGGAGAAGGAGGCAAGCAAGCTGAGCATCCAACTGCTGTGTGCAGGTGTCTGTGCATGTGTGCGTGCACATGTGTGTGCATGCATGTGCGTGTCCCTCTAGCTTGCATGTGCATGGGGGTGCAATGGGAATTCGGAAGGGATATGGTAGGATGCCAATCACTCATCCACTCATTCAACAGTATTTATCAAGCATCCACTGAATATCAGGTACTGTTCTAAGCAATGGGACCAAAAAAAAAAAAAAAACCCAAAAACTACCCTTCTGGAGTTTATATTACTTTATTCTTCCCCTAAGCAGCAACAAGTTTTTAAACATCCAGTATGTCAGATAACGAAAAGTGCCAAGGAGAGGAAAGCAGCGTGCAGAAGGGGATACAAAACACCAAGAAGTCTCCTGAGGTCGCACGAGGAAGGGGGTGCATGAGCCCTGAAGGCAGAAAGGGACCCGAGTGCAAAAGCCCTGGTGTGTCACAAACAGGGCATGAAGGCAGCGCGGTGGGGCAGAGGAGGGGTGGCAGGCAGGACACTCAGATCCGAAGCCAGCGGAGGGTTTTGAGCAGAGGAATAAAATGATCTGATTTAATGTTCTTAAACATCAGATTTATTAAGGTACAATTCACATGCAGTACAATCCACTCTTCTTAGTCACACTATTCTATGAATCTTGGCAAATGCCTGTAATTGTGTGTCCACCTCCATAATCAAAATATGGAGCAATCTCACCACCCCAAATTCTTCCGTGCCCCCTCGAGTCCATCCCCTGGCCCTACTCCCAGCCCATGCCACCGCTGACGTGTTCTGTGTCTCTACAGTTCTGCGCCCTTCAGAATGTCATGTAACTGGTACCGCACAGTGTGCCGGCTTTCACTCAGTGTGATGCACGTGACATCACCTATGTTGTTGCACAGATCAGCAGTTTGCTTCTTTTTTGCTCAGTACTGTTTCATTGTATGGATATACCAAGGTTTGTTGATCCATCACTAGTTGGTGGCTAGATGACAGTTTGGCTCCATTATGAATAAAACCACAGACATTGGCATGCAGGTTTTTGTGTGGGTATGTATTTTCATTTCCTAGCTGAGACCGCAGGGCCATATAAGTAACTGTAGGCTGTTTTCAAAGGTACTATATCATTTTGTGTCCCGCCAGGAACACAGAAGAGTTCCAGTTGCTCTGCCTTCTCACCATCACTTAATATTGACAAAGTGTTTTAGCAATTAAAATGGTATGTAGTGTTATTTCACTGTGGTTTTATTTTGGATTTCTCCAATGATTAACACATCGAGCATCTTTACATGTGCTCCTTTGCCTTCCATGTATCTTCTTTGGTGATGATTGGGTTGCTTATTTTCTTATTACAGAGCTGTGACAATTCTTTATGCATTATGGATACCAATTCTATATCAGATATGTGTTTAGCAAATATTTTCTCCAAGTATTATGCTTATATTTTCATTTTCTTAAATGTCTTTTGAAGAGCAAAAGTTTTAGTTTACATACAGTTCAATTTATCAATTATTTTCTTTTACGGTTCATGCTTTTTGTATCTTAAGAAATCTTTGCCTAACCCAAAGTTGCCAACGTTATTCTTCTGTGTTTTCTTATAGAGGTTTTATAATTTTACATTTTACATTTATGTCTATGATCCACTTCAAGTTATTTTTTGTAGAGGATGAAAGGTGTGTGCTGTGGCTTGAACTGTGCCCGCACTTCGCATGCAGAAGCCGTAACCCCCATGTGACTGTATCTGCAGACAGGGCCTATCGGGAGGTGATTAAGGTGAAATGAGATCATGAGTGGGACCCTGATCCACACTAGTGCTCACAAGAGACACCAGAAAACTCGCTCGCTCTCTCTTTTCTCTCCCTGCACACTCAGAGGAAAAGCCATACCAGGCCACAGCAAGAAGACGGCTACCTACAAGCCAAGAAGTGGCCTCAGAATAAAACGTCTCTCACTGGCACCTTGATCTTGGACTTGCATCCTCCAGAACTGTGAGAAATAAATTTCAGTTGTTTACACCACCCTGGCTGTGGTATTTTGTTATGGCTGCCTGAGCAGATTAAGATGGTATAAGTCAAGAATTTTTTTCTTTTTGCATATGATTGTCTAAATTTTTCTAGCACTATTTGTTGAAAAGATTATCTTTTCTCCATTAATTGCCTTGCAACTTTGTTGAAAATCAATTGACCATATCACTGTGGGTCTGTATCTGGAGTTTCTATCCTATTCCGTTAATCTATGTCTCTAGCCTTTCACTAATACCTTAATCAACGTTGCCTTATAGAAAGACTTTTAATCAGGGAAGTTGAGTTTTCCAACTTTGTTCTTCTTTTTCAAAATTGTTGGCTGGGCATGGTAGTCTCACGCCTGTAATCCTAGCACTCTTGGAGACTGAGGTGGGAGGATTGCTTGAGCTCAGGAGTTTGAGACCAACCTGAGCAAGAGCGAGACCCCATCTCTACTAAAAATAGAAAAATTAGCCAGGCACTGTGGTACACGCCTGTAGTCCCAGCTACTTGGGAGGCTGAGGCAGGAGGATTGCTTGAGCCTAGGAGTTTGAGATTGCAGTCAGCCACAATGATGCCACTGCACTCTACCCAGTGAGACAGAGCGAGACTGTCTCAAAAACAAGCAAACAAAAAAAGTTATTACAGTTCTTTTGCTTTCTACATAATTTTAGAATTGGTTTGTAAGTTTTTACCAAAAAAAAAAAAAAGTCCTGTTGTGATTTTGATTGGGAAAACATTGATTCTAATGATCAATACAGGGATAATTGGTATCTTAGTAACGCTGAGTCTTTCAATCCACAAACACAATACAGTGCTTAATTTCTCTAAGTCTTCTTTGATTCCTCTTAGGATGTTTTGAAATTTATAATATTGAAATCTTGCATATATATTTTTAGAGTTATCCAGCAATACAGAAGCATTTCATATTTTTGGTGCTATTTTATTAATAATAGAATTTTTTCAATTTCAATTAATTGCTAGTATATAGAAATATAATGTTTAAAAATATATTGACTCTGTATCCTATTATCTTGCTATACTCACTTATAGTTTTAATGACTTTTGAAATAGACTCCTTGAGATTTTTGCAAAGTCAAGCCAATTGTGAACAGAGGCAGTTTCATTTCTTCCTTCACAGTTGGCACACCTCTTATTTCTTTTTTCTTGCCTTATCACACTGGCTAGGGCCTCAAGTATGATGCTGAACAAGCAGACACCCTTGCCTTGCCATGACCTTAGGAGGAAAGGAGTCACTCTTTCTTTGTTAAGTACAACATTAGTTTTCCATTGATATCCTTTATCATGTCTAGGATATGACATGATTGAAGAAGCTTCCCTTAATTCCTAGCTTACATAGAATATTTTTTATCAAGAATAGATGTTGAATTTTGTCACATGCTTTTTCTGTGTCTCTTGAGATAATCATATTGTTTTCCTTTTTGGTGTGGTAAATCATATGCATTGATTTTCAAACATTGAGCCAACTTTGCATTCCTGGGATAAACCTCACTTGTGTTACCATGTATTATCTTTCTTATATATTGCTGGATTTAGTTTGCCAAAAGACTGTGTTGAAGATCTTTGTATCTATGTTCATGAGGGATATTGGTCTGTTTTTTTTTTTTTTTCCCTTGTCATGTCTTTGTTTGGTTTTTGTATCAGAGTAAATCGGCCTCATAAAATAAGATGGGAAATACTTCCTCTCTTTCTATTTTCTGGAAGAGTCTGTATAGAATTGGCATTATTTCTTCCTTAAATGGTAGATTTCACCAACAAAAATATCTAGGCCTGGAATTTTCTTCATTGGAAGGTTTTTCTGCTCTGAATTTAATTTATATAGCAGATATAGTATTAGTGAGGTTATCTATTCTTGAATGAGTCTGGTGTTTTGTGCTCTTCAAGGAATTTTTCCATTTCATTTAAGCTGTTAAAATTGACATAAAGTTGCTTGTAATATTCCCTTGTTATCTTTTTAATGCCAACAGGATTTGCAGTGATGCTCCCTCTTTTGTTCCTTATATTGCTTGTTTGCATCTTCTTTCTTCTTGATCAGTCTAGCTAGGGGTTTCTACATTTTATTGGTCTGCTTTTTGACCTGAACATTCTGGCTGCTCTGTTGAAGGCAGATGGAAGGGGGCAAGGGCAGATGCAGACGGGTTAGATGGCTGCTGTAGCGATCCCATCAAGAGCCAACAGAGGCTTGGCCTAGGAGGTGGCAGTGGGGGAAGGGAAAGAAGTGATCATATTCTGGGTACATTTAAAGGTAGATTCAAAAAAATATGATAACACATCAGGCGTGGATCAGAATGGGATAAGAAAAAAAAAAATAGAAAAGGATGACTTCAAAGATTCTGGCTTGAGCAACTGGAAGAATGGAGCTTCCACTGACAGAGACAGGAGGGCTGTGGGCAGCATCCGGAGCTCAAGTCTGGGCAAGTCAACTTTGGGAAGCTCACAGGGCCTCCAAGTGCAGACGGTGAACAACGTGTGGGATATACGGGTCTGGAGCTCAGGGGAGAAGTCTGAACTGAAAGTACAAAATTGGAATACATGCCGTTTAAAGCCATGGGAAGAGGTGAGATGATAAAGGAGTGTAGATGGTGAAGAGAACATTCCGTGTCATGCAGGCACTCTCAAGTTTGGGAGATAACAGAAACCAGAAAAACAGACATAAAATGGTCTCGGAAAGGAGGGAGTGAGAATGGAGAAAAGCTGCAGACGGCCTTCGGGAGCCCAGCTGGACGTGGGGAAGGAGAAACCAGAGACTGGTCTCTCAAAGAGCTGGTTGCTAGGGAGGAAAGAAGAAAAATGATAGAAATTGATAGAAAGGGAAGAGGAACACTTTTTAAAGATGGGAGAAACAATGGTGTGTTTATATATTGATACAAATAATCCAGGAGAAAGAGAAAAATGGACAGGGCAAGAAACAAAGTACGGAGCTGCCAGTGTGGTGTCCCTGGGTGGATGAGGATGAGACTTGGTGTGCAAAGGGGACTGGCCCTGACTCACTCGCGGCAGAGAGACAGCTGAGCTCCAGGGCACAGACTCAGGGAGGAAGGTGACGGCAGGGCAGGTCCCCCTCAGGTCCCATCAGTCAGATCAGGGGGACTGGGCTCGCTATGGCAGGGAGCAGAGAACACGCGGACTCATCACCTGGGAAAGGATCTGGGCCAGGCTGTGTCCTGGCTTTACCACGGGCTCTGAATAACCTGGACAACTGATCAAGTTTCACTGTGCCTCAGTTTCCCTATCTGAAAATGGCTCACATGCAGACCATGACCAGGGGGGAAAGCCAGAGCCTGCAGTGGCTGCGCAGCTGCCTCAAACCCCGCCCCGGGCAGGGCTGGCCCCTCAACCTGCTCCCTGCACGCCTGCCTGGGGCTGGCTCTCGAGGACAGCAGGGGCTCGGTGCCTCCCCTCTCCTGAAGCTGCCTTGCTCACCTGGGGCCAGCTTGATCTCCAGTGCAGTCCGGATGAGGGCCATCAGCGTAGATGTGAAGTGGACTGTCATGTCCTCGCTGGAGATGGGCATGTTCATGCGAACGAGACGCTGGGGACAGGTGGAGGCAGGTCAGGGCCAGGCCAATGGGGTAAACCCCACCCAAGGACCACACAGTGCTTGGGGTCCCTGGAGGCTGGGCCTCCCGATGGTGGTCCCTGCAGGTGCCTGGGCCCGAGTGAGGTTGGGTGGTTGGGAGTTTTGCCAGCATTCACGCTCACCCCAGGACCCCATCCCCATCTGAGCTGAGAATTTTCCTGGCTGCAGAAAGTAGAAATCCAGGTGAAGATTACAGCATGGGACTAGCCCAGAAGCCTTGATCCCTCTGAATGAACAGGCACATCCTCAGTAAGGGGGACCCCTGCCTGTGGCTGAAAAAAGGGTGTGTGGCCTAGCTGAGGAGGGAGGGGGCCCAGGATGGGGCTTCTGGGGGTGGCCACAGACAGAGGGGAGGGCCTCTGTCGTCACAGATCTACCCAGGGCCTCTCTGAGGCCGAGTTCGCAGTGGGACACCCTCACAGCTGACACCCTGGCTTTAGGCAGGTCCAGCAAGGTTTCTGCCTCTCACCACCCAGATGGGGGCCAGGAAGAGACACATAATGTCACTTGAAAGCAGAGCCCATCTCAACTCACGGCATCGAGAGAAGCCTTAGAGACCAGCTCCTTCCAGCTGGAAGGACCCAGGACAGATGGGACTGCCCAGGGCCTCAGGCTTAGCCAGCAGCAGTTGGGGGCTGGTTCGGAGCAGGCCAGGCTGCTGCACTGCGGACCAGATGGGGCAGTACCCTGTAGTGTTGCTCCTGTCACCCTCGCATGGACAGTCCCCTTCTCTCTTCAGGGACAGAGCAGCTGGAGACAGGCATGTGTGTGTGCCACGGTCCTCCGGGCACAGCCAGCAGCTGCTCAGAGCCTCATGCTCTGAGAGCTCAAGAGGAAATGGGTCCCAGGTGCCTGTGTGATGTACTGAGCATGCGGAGGCCAAGGGGAGCCCCAGGGTCATGTCCACCCTGTCTTTTGCCCCGGGATGAGAGCTAGACACAGGAACTCCTCCCTGGGGTCTGCGTTCCTCTCCCCAGCCTGCGCCTTGTGGCAGGCAAGCCTTCAGCCCCTTCTCTGGTGAGGGCCACGCAGTCCTGCCCCAAGCATCCTGGCCCCAAGTCCAGAGTCCTCAGCCTGATGGCTGGGGTGGCTGTGGATGGGGGGGCTGCAGACATGAGCCAGACTCTGTCTCCCGAATGCTGGCAAAGCCCCACTGGACACATCCAATCATGGTCCCAGGACCTCTAACATCACATGTGTGTTGCACACCAGGAAAAACCCAATTCCCCGAGCATGGCATCCCTGCAGACCAGCACCAACAGCAGTGTGAGAGGCTGAGGAATTCCTCTCCATGAAGGAAAGTCTAGGGTAGGAGTGAAGGGAGAGCAGGCAGGTGATTTCCAAGAAAGGAGAGCTCCATCCAGGCACTGGAGGGTTGCTCACCAGGGGCTCCCGTCTGCCCACCCCCATCCCTGGAAGGCCACAAATCTCGCAGAGAAGCAGAGGGGTGAGGCCAGAGCAAACAGGCATCTCTGCCCGAGTCCTGGACCCTGCCCAGCCACCCACACCCCACCCTGAGGCTTGGTCTCTTTGCCCAGAACCTCAAAGTTGGCAGAGTCAGCCAGCACAGCTGGGCAGGTGCCGAGGGCTGCTCTATCACGGCTCTGCTGGCCACCTGGCCCCGCGTGTCAGGTGGACAGAGCTCTCCTTCCTGGGACAAAGCTGCAGCCTCGCATGCAGGGCCTCAGGCAGGCACAACGCGCAGGGCAGGACAGGAACTGAGGACACCAGAGGGGTCCGGTCTGGCACAGAGCAGCTGCTCAGCCCCACAGGCTGTACTGAACCGGGCGACAAAGACCCAGATCTGGAGTCCAGAGACAGGCAGCGTGGACAGGAGATGTCCACAGAACCAGAGAGCTGGACACTGTAGTGGGCAGCTCTCTCAGGCAGAGGGGGCCGCAGGAGGGCTCCAGGCGTGTGCTGGCTGAGCCGCAGGTCACGGATCGTCAGAGAGCACGGGGTCTGAGGGAGGGCTCTTGGGTGAGTCGGGTGCTGGAGGGGTGGGGTATGCTGACACACTGGGTGGGGCCCTATGGTGTGCCTGCCCACCAGCAGGGAGGCCTGGGGGCGTCCTTCAGTTTACTCCCTTCCTTGCAACTCAGCCCCCTGTGGCTCGTGGGCCCCTGAGGCTGTCCCCATCCTGCAAAGCCCCTCTGAAACCCCCGAAGCCCCAGGAATGACAGCAAGATGCCTCTCCCTCACACCCTTGCTCCTTAGTGCCACGGTGCCTCCTTCCCACTGTGGAGCCTTGGAAGCCCCTGCAGACCACAGCCTGGGCCCAGGGACCATCTGCACTTGCTGAGCTGGGGACAGGGGTTATGCAGAAGCACCAGAGGCCCTGCAAGCTCCAGTCACCCACTAGGACCCAACCCAAAGGGCTGGATGACTCTACCCATGCCGAGGGCTTAGGGGACAGAGCATCTGGGGTGTGGCCCAGAGCCCAGAATGGAAACGATCTGTGTCAAAATAAGTGGTCCAGCCCCTCATTCCTAGGAAGGAAAGAGAGACTGAAAAGGTGGGGATGGGGGGCCTGGCTTGTCTTCCTGAGCCTCTAGGTGGCTCTCAGAGGGGCCAGTGCACAGACAGCATCCCGGTGGCCATGCCCACTGCCTGGGAAGGAGGCACAGGCAGGGCAGGGCTGGAGAGCAAGACACAGCCAGGCGGCGGGGCACGCAGCAGAGCGGCAGACAGACAGCCAGCAAGCCCTGCGAGGAGGCGTGAGAGCCAGAGGGCGCCCTCCTGGTGAGAACAGACAGCCTCCCGGGGTGGGGCACAGGGTCGGGGTCTACCTTGTAGGCAACTCGAGCAGGGCATTTCTTCCCCAGCCCCAGAGGTGGGGACATGTGTTTCAGCATCTCAAACATGTCATTGTAACTGATGCGCCCACTGGAAACCCGTCCCAGAGAGGCCAAGGCACAGGGTCCACAGGAGGAGGCGCGCAGCGGGGGCGGAGCGGGGAGCGGGACGGGAGGAAGCAGACAAGAAAACAGATCCAGTTAATCAGTGTCGGCAAGATGCCACGGTCACGGTGAGATGAGGCTGCTCTGCCTGGCGTGACCCTCCTGGCCCCCCGCCCCCGCCTCACCTCCTCGGCCAGCCCACACGGGCAGCGGCAGGGTGACGTCTGAGCTAATGAACATGGAGGGGTGAGGAAGGGCTGCATCGGGGCGGCTTTGGGTTGTCAATTTCTGATTTTACTCTTTAGAAACCACAGATAATGCCAACTCAGACAAGAGCTGCTCCACCACGCCGGCAGAGCTGGCAGACAGAAGTGAGGCGGATGGGCTGCGGCTGAGGCCACAGCAGAAACATCGGCTTTCTGTAATGGTCAGATTTGCTTCCAAGTGAGGCTACAGGCTAAAAGAGCGGAGAAAAATCTAAAGCCAACCAGAAAACTAGAAGGGAGCCCCAAGGCTCTAGAGCTGAACTTGACCGTGGGGCAAGTCCTGCTCCAAGCCCAGAGACGCCCGAGGCCAGCCCAGGGCAGGGCTGCTGCTGGGGTCAGGGCTGGGCGGGAAATGGGGGACCGTGGGGAGGGGAGCTGGCAGGATGTGGCCTGGTGCTATTCTGGCACCGGCTCTGATGGCAAGGGGCCAGGTTGGGGCCCACACAGAGGAGGAGCCACCAGTGTGGGGCCTGGAACGCAAAGGCTCCAACAACTGAGTCTTCCTGAAGTGGAGAGGCCATCCCGGGACACCTGCCTATCACCTTGGGGGTCCCAGACATGCAGCCAGGTGGCCCAGGAGAGAAAGGGGACAGCCTTTCCTGGCAGGTGGATCTGCCCTGGGGCCCTCGCTCCACCCACAGTTCCAGACCAGGCGGCTACTCGGCTGAGCTGAGTAGACCAATCCAGAGGCAAAGCAGGAAGGCTCCTCTTTGCTCTGCACCCTGCCTCTGCTCTCTCTTTCCCAGGGACTGGACAACTGCTGGGTTATTGGGCTCTTCCGACCCAGAGGGGAAGCTGCCACAGGTGAACCTGTCTCCACATCCCCCTCCTCTGGGGCCCTCAGCCTCTGACTTGTCTGACCATCAGCCCACCCTCAAGAGCTCAGAGGAAAAACGGGGTGAGCCAGCTGCTTCCCTGGTGCAGGTGGGACCTAGCCCCCAGCTCCCCCAGCCAGCTGGTCCTGGTCGTCATGGCCCAGCCAGAAAGCTTTCTGTGCACTTTCACAAGGCTGCCTGTCCCCAGCCAGCTGGAGGGTCAAGGGGGATTAGACAGGGAACCAAAGCGTCCAGGAGGCTGGAGTGCGGGGCAGGGCGGGAGGAGAGAGGTGAGGTGTTGTCATTCCCAAACCAGGCAGGGAGTGTGTGCTGTGTTTGCATTTCGGGCAGGGAAGTATGTCAGATGGAGGCTCTGAAGTTGCAAACCTTGTAGGCCAACCTACGAGGGCAGTTCTTCCCTAAGCCAACGGGTGGCGCAATACAACGCAACAAACTGTACATATCCTTATAATGAATCCGGCAACTGGAAAGGAAACGTCACAGGTTATGGCAACACAGGCACGATGGAACCCATCCCGCCCACCCTCCCAGCCTACAATGGGAAGATTTGGCCTCGCACAGGCGTGGAAGGTGAAGGGCACGCTAGACAGGCGGCGCCCTGCCAGGGGACTGGGTTTGGGAGCTCCCCAGGAGGTGCGGCAACACGGACATAATTTCTGGAGCCCAATGTAGGCAGGAGACACTCCATACAGAACACCAGCGAGTTCCATACAGGCAGACCGCACGTCTACACCTGCCAGCCCACGCCGAGCCCCGCACTCTTCACGCTGTGCCGTGGCCTGTGCTGCCTGTCTCTCCGGGGCCTGCCCACATGCTCCCTCTCTGACAGCCCCCCGCCCCCCGGCGCTCCCTGGGCCTCCAGGCTGGTCAAGGCCCCTCTCTGTGTGCCCCCCTCTGACCCCCAGCCCCGTCACCCACAGCAACCACAGAGGCACGTGTCCATGAGCCTTCCGACTGTCCCTCTCTCCCCGAACACGCCCTCCCTGGGACACGCCAGGGCTGGCACCCAGTCACCACGGACACTTCTCTGTCCTGCACTGAGGCCCGGCAGTCCCGTCAGCTCCAGATGGTGCTGAGTACACTTCTGGAGACGAGGGAGGGAGGAGGAAGCCCCACTTCAGTGCACTCGAGGTACCTGCTGAGCTTGTCGGACTGTGGGGACCAACACAAGGGGGCTGGACACACGTGGGACCCCCAGCCTCCAGGACCACCTCCCATGATACCCAGACAAAAAGTGTGGGCCTAATGCTGTCACTCCCCAATTCAAGGACTGTCCCCACCGTCCACACAACAAAACAAAGCTACCTGCTGAGCACATTTTAAGGCCTCTGTCTCGACCTGTCCCAGCCGTCCCTCCAGCCTGACACACTCCGCCCAGCCTCCCTCTCTCCGCTGCACCGTCCCCTCAGCCTTCGTGAGCACTGGATCCAGCCTGTTCCCTCCAGTTCAGCTCAGACACCATGTCCTCTGACTCGCCAAGCCAGACGTGGTCTCTCATGCCTCAGAAATGCCTGGGCCTCAAGCTACGGCCATGCGGCTGTCCCACCACCTGCTTGGCTGAGTGCTCAGGGCACGTGCCTGCTGCACCTCGGACTCCTGCCCCAGTACACGGCAGACGCTCAGGAAATGTTTGTTGTGCAGACGGATGAACACAGACATGAGCAGACAGATTGCTCCAGGAAGCGTGACTGTGACTCCCCTTTTGAGTCTCTACACTGCACCACAGAGTGTTGAAGCAACAACAGAAGGGAGGCTGGGAAAAGGCAGCAGCAGAAATCAACAACTCCATGCCTCCCTCATCAAGCCACAGCATGCGTGTCCACACACACGTGCTCACAGGCATGTGCACACGAGCATAAAATGCTCCCACGTCCATACTCACATGGCACACGTGTGCACAAGCCCATGCACACACACAGCTGCACACACATGTACATGGGTGCACACATGTTGCATACATATCCACATACAACCACACAGGTATGCACATACAGTTCACTTGCACACACACATACACATATAATCACATGTGCACAAACATGCATGTGCACACACATGCCAATGCCTGTGTGTATGCACCTGTGTGCAAAAACATTCACATACCTGTGTACATGCATGCACAGCACACACTATGAACACATACACACATGTGCAATGCACACAGCACACGTGCTCACAGTGCACGCATGCACAAACACACCCATGTATATGCACACACATGCACACATCTGTGCTTGTGTACACATATAGTCACACAGGTGCACAAACATGCATACGCAAAACAGGAAATTTCACAAAGTTTTGTTGTTGTTTCAAAGTTTCTCCCAGAGAACGAGGAGACATCCAAGTGGTCACCTAGGAAATAAAGGTAACCACTTCCCTGCATCCATCATGGAAGTCACTGAGAGGCTCGAGATGCGGCACTGGACGCGGACCAGACCCCACCTGCTCGGATGCGCCTGCCTCCCCGGCACCTGCAGGCAAGCTGTGCTCCAGGCCGGGCTGCCAGGGAAGCAGAGCCGTGTGTGCGCTCACAGGCCGCCTCTGTGCTACTTCGAGGCCTGCGCGTCTTGCGCATTATCTCGCAGGCGCCACTTCTGAGGTGAGGCTACTATGCTGCTGTCTACACTTCGATAAGCACTTTCTCTATTGCACCTCCCATGCCTGTGCCTTCAGGGGGCCTCAGTTCTCAAACTCTGGAGTCTGGGGAGCAGTCTGAACCTTTGCCGTGCATGATCACTGAGCCGCAGCCCAACCCAGGTTCCGGCGTGCCCTACTTCCGCTCTTGCCTGGGAAGACCTGGGTGTGCAGGGCATGGAGATTTGAGGGCTGCCGTCTCCCTCTTGCGGGCCTTCACTGCTGTGCCTTTGCCCTTCAGTACAAATCGCAGCCCATAAAGCCGCAGTCCCCACCCTCCGTCTGCGGCCTGCTAGGGACCCGGCTGCAGAGCCCTGCCACCCCCGGACTGCCCTGTCTGTGGAAAAATTGTCTTCCATGAAACTGGTCCCTGGTGCCAACAAGGTTGGGGACCACTGTCACAAAGTATCTCTGTCTTCTGTAACACAATCTCCTCTAGAAAAAAATGTTCCCAGAAACAACAGCAACTCTCAGACCACAGGATGACCTCAGTCAGGATGACCTTCCCAGAACTCGCCTGAATCCCCCTCAACTGGAGTCTCTCCTACCCTTTGCCTAACAAGGTCTGGGCCTTGGGTGGGGCCAATCTCCCTCCAACCTGCCTGGGCCTTCCCGACCACCGACCTTGTGAGCATCCCTGGGCCTGTACACGCCAGGACGAGTACCGGGCGCTGCAGGGCAAACATGCTGACGCATCAGACGTGATGGGGTTCTCCAAAGCCATGAAAACGGTCATGAAACGTGTACACATACCATGAAACACAGATAACCGCTATGCTCATTCTACGTACAATTTTTACTATGTAAAAATTGTAAATTTCTCACTAAAATGAAAACACACAGAGAGACGCTGTGGGCCTGGAAGAGCCTGGACAAGGGAGGTCTGTGTCCCAGGGTACCTGATGCTGCCAGTGGCTCTGTGACTTCACCGGGCTGGGAAGGCCCTGGGCAGCACCTGTGGGTCCTGATGGTGATGGTGGGGCGGTCCAGGGATGCTAAATGAATGGGAGAGGGCAAGGGAGCCCAGCCAAGTCCCCGAGTCTTCCGGGTCTGCGGGGTGCTCCCATGCAGAGCTCCAACTTAAGGAAAAACAGACAGAACCTGAGGAGCTCTGTGGGCTGCGAGATCCTTACCAAGAGGAGTGTGAGCAGCTCCTCCAGACCTCCCCTGCAGCACGGGGCCTGCAGACAGAGCTGGGCGTGGGGGATGTGGGCAGGCCAGGGAGCCTGGAGAGAGGAGGTGGGCCACAGCTGCACCCAGCCCCACACATTCTCACCCCCTCCGCAGGGCACAGGACGTGGTGGACGGCTACACACTCAATGAGCCTTGTTCATCCACGGCACGTCTGCTGAGCAGTGTCTGTAAGCAAGGCACCGAGCAGGCTGGGTCTGACGCCCAAGCCAGGCCTCTTGGCCCCTCCACCTCCTGTGTTCTGCCTTGCAGAGAGCAGCCCTCGTGACTACTGCTTGAATGAGCGAGTGAGCGAGCCAATCAGTAAATGGGTGGTTGGATGGAGGAACGGACAGATGGACAGATGGAGAATCCATGCTGCTTTGACTTCCTAAACGTGCTCTCAGCCCTGAGGGTGAACACACACTGGTGTGCCAGGGAACACGATCTCAGACAACTCACGAGGCCCTTGCTCAGTCTGGAACGGCATCACCCTCCCTTATGCAACGCAGGAAACCTTTGCCCCCACGACCAAAGGGTCGTATGCATACTAGAGCCTTCCTGGTAGCCCATCTGATTTCACTGACAGTCCACCGAGCACCCGCCACATGCAACCTGGGCTGGGGACATAGAGATGCACGTTGACTCCTGTCCTCAAGGGAAACAGCAGAGAGGGAGACCCCCAAGCCCTTTGGAGGACTGTTCCAAAACCCCACATCACTTTTGCCCTCAAAGCCCTCCAAGCTTCGAAGGGTGGTGTGGCTGTGCTGTCCACACCCTGCCCATGAGCCCCCACAAGCCCTCACGTGGCAGGCCTTGGAAGAACACAGCGCACTCCTGTGCAGTGAGAGCCCGAGTCTCACAACCCCCTGAAAACCGTCCATGGCCCCCAGGCACCCTCCGAGGAATGAGCTGAGGGGTTTCAAAGGCCCTCCTAGGCCGCGGAGCTGCACAAAGGCACGTGCGACCGAAAAGGGAAGTGCCGCTCGGGGCGACACCAGCGCCGTCCCGCGTGCAGCAGGATGGGTCCCTGAGCCCCAGACCGTGCCCAAAGCCACCCCTGCCCTGTCCTGAGATCTGTGGGTGTGGACCATCCCGAGGACCGCAGAGCGCGGGGCTCACTTACCACGCAGCTGGGTCGTACTCAGCCCAGACCCGGATGAACTCGTCTAGGTGGTGAGGCCCTAGGATGGAAGAGTCCCGCGTAAGGTACTCAAAATTGTCCATGATCACAGCCACAAAGAGGTTCAACATCTGCAGGGCAGGAAGGAGAAGAGGTGACGTAGAGAGACCAGCCTGGCCTCCCGCCCTGCCCTCGCCTTCAGGCCGTCTCTGTGTGCAGCCGTCAGGGCAGAGGTCACCCATTCGAGCCATGACTCCCAGACCTACTCCCCACAGACCCTGCACCGGGACTGCCGGGAGCCCTCATGCCCCATTCAGTCCCCGGAGACACTTCTACGGCCCAGCCCTAACCCAGGCCCCTTAAGCTCTTGTCCCCGGCCTGCCGTGTCACCTAGGTCAGTCTCCCCCTCTCAGGCTCACCGTCAGTGACAGCAGTGACTATGGAGTCAATGGTTTGGGCTCTAGAGACCAACAGCTTAGGCTCTTTTTAAAAAAAGTTAAATTGAAATTCACGTAACATACAATTAAACACTTTTAAAAGTACAATTCAGGGGCATCCAGCGTATTCACGATATTGCACAACCATCTCTCTGGTTTCAGAATCTTCTCGTCACCCCACACCCGTTAAGCGATCACCTCCCATCCTCCTCTCTTCCCCTGTCCCCTGGAAACCACCAGTCTCCTTTCTGTTTTTGTAAATGTGTCTATTCTGGATATTTAATATAAAAGGAATCATTCAATATGTGACTTTGATGTCCGGCTTCTTTCACTTAGCGCAGTGTTTCGAGGTTCACCCACGCTGCAGTGTGCATCAGTACTTCCCTTCCTTCTGTGGCTGAATAACAGTGTACACCACATTCATTCGTCCACCCCCTGGCAGACGTGTGGGTTGTTTCCACCTTTTGATTATTATGATTAATGTTGCTATAAACATTCACGAATGTGGACAAATCTCTTCATCTCTCTTGGGTTATACCTGGGACTGGTCACATGGTAATTCTATGCTTAATTTTTAAAGGAACTGCCAAACTTTTTCCACAGCAGCTGCTATTAATACATTTTCCATTCCTATCAGCAATGTACCATAGTTCCTATTCCTCCACATCCTTGACAATAATTGTTATTTTCCATTTTTACAAAGTTATTATTATAGCTATTATACTGGGTGTGAAGTGATATATCTCATTGTGATTTTGATTTGCATTTCCTTAATTACCAAAGATGTTGAACATCTTTTCATGTGACTGTTCACCATTTATTAATATGTATCTTCTTTAGAGAACTGTCTATTCCAATCCTTCACCCATTTTAAAAATTGAGTTGTTTGTCTTTTCGTCGTTGAGTTGTGGGAGTTCTTTATATATCCTGGATATTAACTCCTTGTCAGATATGTGATTTGCAAATATTTTCTCCCATTCTGTAGATTGTATTTCCACATATTTGATAATGTCCTTTGATGTACAAAACTTTTAAATTTTGATGTAGTCCAATTTATCTATTTTTTCTTTTTTTGCTCATGATTTTGGGGTCAAACCTAAGAATCCACTGCCAATTTTGAAGTCTTGAAGATTTAGCCCCTATGCATTCTTCTAACAATTTTCTAGTTTTCACTCTTCTATTTAGCTCTTTGATTGATTAATTTTGTATGTGGAGTGAGGTAAGGGTCCAACTTCATTCTTTTGCATGTGGCTATCCAATTTCCTCCATATTATTTGTTGAAGAGACTATTCTCTCCCCACTGAATTGTCATTGAAAGAAAGATAATTGGCACCCTGGTCAAAAATCAATTGACCATAGAAGTTTGGGTTTATTCCTGGACATCCAATTGTAGTCCATTGGCCTATATGTCTAGCTGCCAGTACATACAGTTTTGATTACTCTAGCTTTGTAGTAAGTTACGAAATACGGAGATGTGGGTCCTACAACTTCTTTTTCAAGATTCTTGTAGCTATTTGAGGGCTCCTTGCAATTCCCTATGGATTCGAGGATCTGCTTTTCCATGTCTGCAAAAAAGGCCACCAGGATTTTGATAGGGATTGCATTTAATCTAAACATTGCTTGAGGAAGTATCACTATCTTAACAATATAAAATCATTATCTTAACAATATAAAATCTTCCAATCCATGCACATGGGATGATTTCCTGTTTAATTAGGTCTTTAACTGCTTTTCATCAGTGTGTTATAGTTTCCATTGCACAAATCCTTCACCTCCTTATTTATTTATTCCTAGCTATTTCATTTTTTTGGATGTCATTGGAAATAAAATTATTTTCTTAATTTCCTTTTCAGAGTGTTCGCTGCTGGTGAATAGAAACACCACTGATTTTTGTGTGTTGATTTTGTACTCTGCAACTTTGCTGGATTTGTTTATTAGCTCTAGTAGCATTTTTGTGTCTGTGTGTATTGTTTGGGATTATCAATATGTAAAATCATGTTATCTGCAAATAGAAAGAGTTTTCTTCTTCCTTTCTAACTTGGATGCCTTTTGTTTCTTTTTCTTGCCTGATTTCTCTGGCTAGGACATCCATCATGATGCTGAATACCTGTAGTGCAATCCTGTCTTGTTCTGGATCTTTGGGGAAAAGCTTTCAGTCTTTCACCATCGAGTATAATGTTAGCTGTGGGTTTTTCATAAAAACCCTTTACCATGTTAAAGAAGTTCCCTTCTATTCCTATTTTGCTAAGTGTATTTTTTTTTAATCATGAAAAGGTGTTGAACATTGTTAAATGCTTTTTCTCCATCTGTTGAAATGACGTTTTGTTTTTTTTTTTCCCTCCTTCAACTAATGTGGTGTATTACATTGATTGATTTTCTTATGTTGAATAACCCTTGCATTCTTGGGATACATTCCATTTGGTCATGATGTATAATCCTTTTAATGTGTCCTTGGAATTGGTTTGCTAGTATTTTGTTGAGGGTTTTTGCATCAATATTCATAAGGGATATTAGTCTGCAGTTTTCTTTTATTGTGACATGTTTGGCCATAGTATTAGGGTAATGAGGACCTCAGAGAATGTGTTAGGAAGTGCTCCCTCCTACTGTATATTTTGGGAAGAGTCTAAGTATTAACTCTTTTTTTATTCTATTTTTTTTACTGTGGCAAAATATACATAACAAAAAATTTACCATTTTAGTCATTTTTAAGTGTAGAAGTCACTGGCATTAAGTATATTCACATTGCTGTGCAACCATGACCACCCTCCACCACCAGAACTTTTTCCATCTTCCTAAACTGAAAATCTGCACCCATTAAACACTAATTCTCCCCCCTCCCCCATCCCCTGGCAGCCATACCTCCTGCCTCCATGATCTTGACTACTCCAAGTTCCTCACGTAAGTGGAACCCTACAGCGTTTGTCCTTCTGTGATTGCCTTATTTCACTTAGCATCATGTCTTCAGGGTTCATCCGCATCGCAGCACATGTCAGAACTCCCCTACCTTTGGAAGGCTGAACTGAATGAGAGGCCCTTGTATGCTCACACCACATTTTGTTTGCCTATCCATCTGCTGATAGCAACCGTGGTTACGTCCACCTCTTGGTCACTGTGAATAATGCTGCTATGAACATGGAGGTGTGAACATCTGCTTGAATCCCTACTTTTAGTTATTTTGGGTATGCACCCAGAGTGGCATTGCTGGATCATACTGTAAATCATTTTTACTTTTTGAGGAACTGCCATACTGTTTTCCATAGTGGCTGCACCATTTTACAACCCTACAACCAGTGCGCAAGGTTTCAATTTCTCTACATCTTTGCCAACACTTATTTTCTTTTTCTATCTTTTTTGTTTTTTAAATAATAGCAATGCTACTGAGTGTGAAGTGGTATCTCATTGTGGTTTAGATTTGCATTTCCCTAATGATTAGTGATGTTGAGTGTCTTTTCATGTAATTATTGGCTGTTTTCTTTGGAAAACTGTCTATTTAAGTCCTTTGCCCATTTCTTTCTTTTTAAATTTTGTTTGATTTTATTATTATTTTAAATTGACACAATAATTGTACACATTTATGGGGTACAGTATGACATTTTGATACATATATACAATGTATAATGATCAAATCAGGGTGATTAGCACATCCATCATCTCAAACATTTATCATTTCGATGTGTTGGGAACATTAAAAATCTGCCCTTCTAGGC